CCCCCAAAACCCCAAAACCCCAAAACCCCTTATGCAACTTTAAAAATTGATTTAAATTTATTCTAACAATGGTAAAAAATAGCTTGAGCTATCAAATTTAAGAATACTTATTATATTTTATAGGACACAGTTGATCAGATCAGGACTATCACAACAAACAGCTTTTTTAATGAGTAATTTTTTATTTCTCACCCCATAGCAACTCATTCTACAGTTACGACCCAAAACCCAAATGCAAAAACATAAAAAATGTACTTAAAAAATACAAAAAGTATAAATAACTGGCTTTCAAAGAAACAAAATTTCTCCCTCGCGAACTACTTTCATCCGAGTGCATCATTTCAACTCCAAAACAACGAGGAATTACTGAACAAAACTCTAAATTCTTCATTTATGACCTAAAAGTGAAGTTCCTTCATACCTAAAGGGGCCACAGCAGCGGAAAGTAGTGACACGCGCGAAGGAATATATCGCGTCAATCAGTGGCAATAGCACCCATCCTTCAGTAGAGCAGTTTAATGACACCTTAAGCAAAATATACAAAAACAGAAGGATTTGTAAGAATAAAAGGATATACACAAAACATTCTAGAAGGAGGAGGTCCCAACAACCTCCTTTGAGTAAGGGACTTGGGAAGGCTAGAAAGACCCAGAAGACGGCTAACTCTAAATTCAGAAGAGCCCGAACTAAGCAGAGAGATAAGTTGTTTGACAAAGAAGACCAAAGCCAAGAAGCGCTGTATAACTATTGTTACAAGAAAATGTTTGGAGGTGATAAGTTGAAAATGATCGGGGAATATAATCTCAAAAATGATGAGTAAGTCTCATTAGGATAAACATATAGACAGCAAAAGAGGATGCCAAAAACAGCTGCTATTTCAAAGCCATTCCATTTGATTCGCACGAAGAAGGACTCCTCTTACTTTAATAATAGCAATGAGATTTTCCTGAATGTTAAAAAGAGAGCATGAAGTATAATCACTAAAATGGAGAATGAGAAGAGACTCTCTAAGACTTTCTACAAGCCATCCAATGAGCCTGAGAAGAAGGAAATGTAGCTTAATTTTAATATTTTATGGGGTTTTGGGGTTTTGGGGTTTTGGGGTTTTGGGGTTTTGGGG